GTAATACTAGGTGTAAACTAAAAATGTTTTTATTAACTGAAATAAATATAAAAAATAGAATTTTGGGAAACAAAACAAAATAAAAATGCTAAGGAAATGTCATGAATTTTTGGTCTTTATGACTTTGGTTAAATCTTGTTATCAGGCACCAGCCTGATTAGGGTTGATTGAGACTTTAAGTTATTTCACACTTGCTAAAGGCAGTTCTACAATCACACGCTACTTTTGGATTTTAGTTTTTGACATTAACCTCCTAGGACCTGGAGTTCACATATGTGGACATCACATCTTAGGATGTCTAGACCAAAATACTTAATTTTCCTCTACAAGGCCTGATATCCACGTACAAGGACATTATGCTGCCACTGTTCTATCAAAATTTAAATGTCCTCATATGTGGATCTCATTTTTAAGGAACAAAATTCAGTAAAAAAAATAAAAATAAATCTGGTAATTCTTTGTTTTTACATTCATCAGGTACCAATCAGCTCAAATAGCAAAGAAAAATTTAAAATGCATGCCATGAAAGTTTGGGTCTTAGAAGGTTAATGGCATGATCTATTTTCTCTTTGCCACGACTGTATAATAACTCCACTGCAGAGTGGTAAGAATTTGCCCCTGGATGCATTTTGCTCTGGTTCACTTTGTTCTCACCAAACAATTTAAAAAAAAAAAGAAGCCACACACAGTGGGAGTGTTTCACTGAGACAGAGTACAGCTTTATTAAAGTCAAACTTCAGGCATGTCTGAACTCTTCAAACTCAACTTTCGAATGAAAAAGGACAGAATCAATATCCTCAAATAAAAAGACAGTCATGTACAAAAAGAGTGTCGTCTCAACAGTCACACACATTTAGAAGCAGAATTTTACAGGCAAAAAGAGCACGCCACAGTAACAAGATCCTATGCAAGTTCAATGCAAACTATTTACAAGTTCTTCAACAATAATGTAGTATGCAGTAACACAGGTTGAACAGTAATTAACATGGTATTTTGTGTTCATCCACTTTTTAATTGAAGCAACACCAAGAGAGATAGATATGACCCCAGTTAGAGTTACTGTAAGCAATTTTACTACAAGTAAAAAGAGATCATGAGTGCTTATGAAGGTGAATTTATTTATTTATTCCAACACTATTTGACAGCATGTTAATTTAAAAAAAAACAACCCAAAATGACAGTCGGCAACATTGCACAAAACACAAAAGACATCACAGTGAACTGAAACATGCCCTTTGACACAGAGACAGGGGGTGGAAAACAAAATCAAATCCTCCTTAGGCGTATTTAAGGGCCACTTAAATGAGAGCAAACATGCTGTCTCTTCAAACCAAAACATACACACCAGACAGTTTCTGAAGTAACTCAGATGGACACTTAAATAATACTGCTTCTTTGTCAGGCAGGAGGGCCGGGAGAGGACAAACTGGCACAAAAAAATGAGCGCGATCATGCAATCTGCAGGTGCGAAGGAAAATAAAGGCTGTTCGGTTTTGCAGAATCTCTGTGCAATACAATAAAAAAACCCAAAAAAACCAACCAAACAAAAAAACATTGGCAATAAGTCGTGGTCTGGAAGCATGCAGTTCAGCTAAGCAACAGAAAAAAAACAGAAGCTTTAAGACAAGTTTTATCATCATAAATGATCGCTTTTGTTTAAGCAGATAACACGAGTCAGGGATGCCTACGGTTCGATAATCATACACGTACGAAACCTGTGCTCAAAAAAACCCAAACCTAAGCAAACAAACAGTACATCAATAAATTAAAAAAAAGAAAGAAAGAAAGAAAGACACTAAAGTTTAGACGCACAGACCTTTTGGAGTACACAAATAGGTGCTTTAGTCATGGACCTACTTGATTATCAAGGAATACAGTTGTAAAAAGAAAAGAAAAACTAGAAGTGCTTAATTGCATTAAAAACAAAACAAATACAACTATCCCCTTTTTTTCGCCTCCAGGAATCCCATCTTAAAAAAGGCTTCCTGAAAGGCACAAAACAACAGGAATTATAGGAAAGAAACTGCCGAATGCAGAAGAGTGAGAGACTTTAACTTGAAGGGGGCAAAAAGTTCATAGTTCAAGCTTTTCTATGCATTTCTGAATGCACATCAGTCAATTAAAACAGAAGTCTGACCCCAAAAAGTTCATTTCCCCGTGGTCGAATTAAATCTGACTTTAACGTCCCCGTTTTCACAAATATCTGTTGTCGGACATTAAAAAAGTCAGGTGATTATCACAGCGAGTGAGTAGGCATCAGGTGTCCTGCCTCAAACTTTGCCTAAACTAATCAGGTCTTGTGTTGTGTGCCACAAGCGAGAATCAGTGAGAATCAGTGTCCAGAGGTCGTTCAAGGCCTCACACTTAAACTGAAATCCTGTAGCGCACAGAAACCGGACTTGTGCATATTAACATAATTTGTCAATGAACGGTGAGTATTTTCAAACAACTAAAACACGTCTAGTACGTCTTATTTTTCTGCATTCGGAGGCTTTTATTCTTTCTCTGTCATGATTTACAGCCAGCTGCCAGTTTATTAGGTAAAACCAACAACAACCCACACTGCTATCAGGCCTGAAATAAAATTTTAAAGAAAGCTATAATGCTCAGCTTTTGTTTTTAGAGGTGGCAAATTTTTTAGAGCAGGGTGTCAAACAAAAGGCCCGGCCGGGGGCCAGAACTGGCCTGACAAAGTCTCCAATCTGTCCAGCTTTGGAAATATTAAGGGGATAAACTTTTGGACTTTTAACTGTGTTTTTACAGTTACTAAGTATCAAAGTGGGCTGCATGTGGCCTTTGATGTATAATAAGTTTGACATCCCTGTTTTAGAGGCCGGAGAATATAACTGTCCATTTAGAAGCTGTAGCGTAACAAGAGGTTGGATACAATCCCAGCTGGTGACTGGGCAAGAGGTGGCGTAGAGATCATCCTTTCAGATATTTACCCCCGATTAATCTATCAGCATCGACATCTGAACGAGTTTACGACTCATGCAATCCCACTAAAGATTAGGACTGCACATGCTCCTCAGCTCAGTAAAGAATACCTTAAACAACAATATAAAGAACATAATGTCATTTTAACTCACTGGCTCAGTTTTTATTAGCACTTAAAATAAAAACATTCGTCTGCGAAAACAGATCTCTCTTAGTGATGTACCAGTGTGGGTAGACTGAAGTCAGCCTCAACAACACTCAGGTAAACAAGAAAAAAAAAAAAAATAATAATAATAAAAAAAAAAAAAAAAAAAAAAAAAAAAAAAAAAAAAAAAAAAAAACGCACCTGAGTGTCAGCACCTTGAAGCCCTGTATGTTTCATATCATGTCTGAAAAAGGCTCCATTTATTCTACCGTCATCAACATCAGTAGAAAAATAATGAGCATTATAACCTCCTCGAAGTTTTATCCCAGTTCTGAAGTTCTATCTAATAAACGGGCAACTGAGTGTTTAAAAAGACCCTAAATCACCTAAATTGATTGGAAACATTGGCACCATTTTACCCTGTTGCACTTTTTTTTTCTTTTTTTTTTTAAAGAGAAAATACATCTTTTAAGGGCACAAAAAAACAAAACAAACATCAGTGTAACTGAGGAAGAATACAAAGCAAGGCGCGATCACAGAAAAGCTTCCTTCAGTGACAACCACCTGAGTCCGGGCTGCAAAACCTGCTCTGAAACAGAAACTTTACATTCCAATACTGAAGTGCTTCACACTGCTTTTAAACACCAATTACAGTGAGTCACGACACAGGCTGATGAGCAGCGGCTGTTACCGGAAGACTGATATACTTTTTCACTTTTTAAAAAAAAAAAAAAAAAAAAACAAGAAAAAGAAAGAAAATACAGGTATATTACGTAAAACTCCCCATATGTTTTTTTAAGCCTATTTCCTTACAGAGGGAGACAAGTTACTGCACTGGTGTTTGAAAAAGAAATTGGTATAAAATGTGGTGCAATAAATACAAAAATTTGAGATTTGACGATGAGCGATTAAAAACACTGTACAGAAGTTTGTACATTATACTGGACTGAACTGTTGTTACACCATTACGTCTCCATATAAAGCCCAGCCTTAAGAGTTTTCTCAAGCTGGAAAATGAAGAAGTGTCTCTGGAGGACACGGAGGACATTTTTTTTTGTTTTCTTTTTTTTTTTTTGGACGAAGCTGGGTTGGCAGTCTTTCCTACTTGTGTGCCAAAGAAAAATGTAAAAGAAAACAAACAATAAAAGAAATATGAAACAAAAATAAAATAAAATAAAATAAAAACAGCATTTAGGCCACTTTCCTCAGAAGAAACAAGCCACACCCAGCGCTCACCACGTTTCTGACCGAGAGGCAAAAAGTTACAACACAGTTTAACTTCCAATAATACAAGAAGAAGAGGTATCCATTTTGAAACACTTGTCATATGTTCTTTTAATATACATTTCTGTATACGTATGACCTAGCTAAGGTGAGTAGCAATGAGCCGCGTGAAAGTGCTTTTCAGAAAAAGTCTGGCAAAAAACCCCAAATCCCCGAAAACAAAAGAGCCGTCACAGTACGCCGAACCGAAACAACCGAAGTGGACTGCATCTGGGCAGTAGTAACTACAGCTAAAAACCCAAACTTAAGGCTTATTAACACTTCTTTAAGACAGCACCAGTGATCACAAGCTGGGCCCCTTCATCTACTTTGCAAATAACTAATTTGAGGAAACATTAAAACATAGCTTTAAATAAAGAATTTTTTTAAAAAGGATCTGTCTTGTTTTTTTTTTTCAATTATTATTACAAAAAAAAAGAAAAAAGAAAAAAGCTTTTCCATCTTCCAAGAACAATCAGAGAGGTGAGGCTCCGCCCCTCCTGATCTTTTTAGTATTTTACAATATTGTGAGCCAATTATGTACACAATGGCGAGTGAGACTGGCAATATGAAAATCACAAGAACTTCTGAAATGTCATACCATTTCACTATATACCATTATATTTCACCTTAATAGGACTATTTTCACAAGGAGGTCTGCGTAATGTTCAACACCTAAACAAACATAATACACCACTCACTGAGATGAAGTGAGAGAATCTGTCTGTAAACATTAACAAACATAGATACTGTATATAATTATATTTATCTATACCCATAAGCATATTAAAACCATGTTTAAGGAAAGTTGGAATGTAGTGTGGTCCTGGAAAAAAACAAATTGCACGAAATTGGTCATTTCCCCGCCGCTCCTTTTCTCTAACAGATAAAGAGGATGACAGATCACGAGAAAAGCTGGCTCGTCTCCATCCTAAAGCCACCCTGTGTGTGAGACCACAGCTTACAGCAGGTAAACAAGGAGAGGAGCAGCTTGGTGGTGATGGAGAGCTTCAGCTCCCACATCCTTTTCCTCCTCTCTGCCCCTTCCTCCACCTCACTCAGTGAGTTCTTCAAAGTGCCAGGAACTGGAGACGTGACGACGCTTACACTGCTTTAAAAAGAAAGAAAGAAAAAAAAATAGCAGTAAAAATTTAAAAACAACATAATGAGGTGGTGGCCTGGGCCCTCCAGTGGGCGCAGGCGAGCTGCAGAGAGTGTAAGTAGTGGTGTTTTATGGCAAGACAGGAGGGAAAACGGTGCCTGATGATTTCTGGTCCTTCTCCTACTGTCGCCACAAAACAGCATCAAGGTGTTCGTCAGCGTGTCTCAGCTCTGAGTTGCGGCCATTGCATGTGTCAAAAAAAAGAAAAAGAAAAAAAGCACTGTATTCCCTGTTGTAGTGCACTGCTTAGGATCAGAGGTGGATTGGAGCACACTTTGCAGGGAATGAGGTATTAAGGGTTTTATCACTCCGTGGCCGGCTGGCCTGACTCCGGCTCCTCTTTGACTCTGACGGGACTCTGAGCGGAGCGCCGCTGCTGGGTGGAGCTGGATTTGGCCCCCAGGGGACTGAGCGGGTTGTGGCTGGAACAACAGAGGCGGTCGTCCAGGGAGGAGGTGGTGAGCGCCCCCGCCTCATGATCCCGGCAGAAGGAGCGAGGGCAGAAGTCACAGAGAGATGAGGCCGGGTTGCTGCAAACGCTGCAGTCATGCCACGGGCATTCCCACCGCCCTGGAGACAGGAAATGGGTTAATTACAGACGCATCAAGTCAGAGAACTGAAAAAGGAGATTATTTAAAAATAAATGTCACATATAGCCCACCACATCTGCAGTCCACTTGACATGTCAATCACAACTCTGATCATCACACTTCGTGTTTTCTTTGATTGGGAAAACTGGTGTAAAGCATGTGAACCAGATTACAAATGAGTATGTGCTGATCTTTGATATAGGCCCAGGACGAGCCTTCCTGTTAACTGTCACACTGCTGAGAGATCGTCATCTAGACACTAATTCAGCACAGAAGTCAAAACAGACGGATAAAGGTAAAAAGTGTCCAATCAGTGTAACATCTACCTCCACCGAGTAGCTTAATTTTTATATGCTCCATTACATTTCTGATAAAAACAAAAGCTTTAAAAATAAATGGAGTGGATGTCTCTCCCTGCCTCCTTCAGACACTTCTGCATCCGTGTCCCAGCTACAAATCCAAAATGGAAAGCTCATGGAAAACTGATGCATAAGGACAGCATACAGGGGTGGATGGGAACAGTGACTTAAATGCTGTGCTTTCCACCACCTGTGTCGTCTTCCTGCTGTGCTGATTTATTTTCTGTCGTGGAGTGAACTGATTTTTGAGGACAGGAGTTTCCAACCTCAAAAAGAGATCCCAAACAAAAACTTGAGCTGTCAATGAGATGATTTACAGAACAGGAAATTCTTCTAATATCCTGTCCTAATACATCTGCTTTAATTTCCGGTACATTACTGATAACTTAGTATTATAGAGAAGGTTTGAAAGTACAGACAGCCAATTAAAAAAAACAAAAACCCTGGAAAACTGCAAGAAACTGACCTGCAGAAACGTTTCAGGAGCAACACAAACTAAACAAAAGCATGCAGAAAGTCATTTCTGTCGTTACAGTATGGCGGTTTGGTGAGGTTGAGACACAGCAGGTGATACGCTTTTGGGCACTCCTTCCTGTCACACATCACCAGCTCTCCTCCTTTTCCTCAGCAGAAGCAAAAGTACTCGTGTGTGTGTTTGCCCTCCGGCCGCAGTTTCCGCTTCTTCTGCTTCATCTTTGCATTCCTGGCCTTTTCCTCTTTCTCCGTCACTGCAGCACTCTGCAGGAAATGTGATAAAACAAGAAAGAGGTATCAAACACAGGTTCCAAACTTGGCTGCTCCTTCTTAGGTACTCTGAATTTTAATGGGGATGACAAACATCCTCACCGATGGCTGGACCCCAAGAAATCCAGAGCAGTTGTCTGATCCACAGTGACACGACGTTCTCCTGTTGCCCACACAGTGCAGATTGTAGTTAAACGTCAGCTCTGTGCCTGCAGGGACACCAGGGAGAAGAGCAACATTAAATGGGAATCATCCAACTTGCTCTCAGTCCATTTAATATACATGAAGGAAAATGTGTGTCAGAGCTGCAGATTAACTCACCAGCCTCGATGTCACAAAGGGCAAAGATTCCAATACGAACGTCGCCGTTTACCGTCCACTTCTGGGTTTCGCAGTTTGGGCTGCAGCTGTGGTTAATAAACCGAGACGAGTTTCCTTTTGGGCCAGCGTCGATGACACGATCCTACCGGGAAGACGTGAGTATTAAGACACCAGAGTTTAGGAAATGTTCTTCTGTGGACGATTTATGTATCAGGGATGTTATGTGAACTGACCCCAAATCGGACAAGGAAATGAATGGATGAACAAATAAATGGGACAGTCAAGGACTGAAAAATTAAATCAATGAGGAAGTGAAAAAAACAAAACAATTTAAGATCACTGAAAAGTATGTTAGAGTCTTTTGGGGGCGTTTCTAATGGATTATCTGACTAATATTACAACTTGTTGTATGTTATCTATTGTTGTTAGCATTGTGTATCCTGAGTGTCCATTAAACGTCACAGATGTTACCTTGGTGAGGGTGAGCATGTAGAAGTTGGTCACATGATTTTCATGGGCACGTTTGATTCGCTGCTGGCACTCTTCTGAGTCTATCACCTCTCCCACATACTCGGCCACAAAGTCACCCTGCAGGAAACAACAAACACATTTATATTGTTTTAGTTATTACACAGACACGCACTTAAAAATTACTTATTGCTAGGAAGCAGACTGACAACAAATAACAAACACACATATGAGAACCACTGATTTGCTGAACCTTTACACTCTTGCCTGGCAGATGAAACTGATTTCTAGATTTTTGAATTTACACATCTAGAAACTGCTACTGCACTCAGATGTTTTTGTTTGTATGCAGAAGAAGATACTTATAGCATAAATGAACATATGTTAACAAATATCACAGACACTGGGGCGTTTAAAAGCTTTTCTGCAGGGTAGGCAGCTTGCAAGATTAATAAGAAGAGCTTTTATTGTAATCTATTCAGTTTTTTTTATTTTTCAGTATTTTTCTATGTTTAATTTGATTGTTAAACTAATTTAGATTGCTTTATTTAACATTTCAGCTTGTAGCAAATACAAATCAGATGTGCTGATGCTCTTTAGATGAAAGGTCTGCATTTTAAGTGCAGCGCCCACCTTCTTCAGTGCCTGGTTTGTCCTGAGGCCCCAGCCACACCCTTCCGTCTTTATCACTTCTGTTTCTGCATACAGCCGTTTGGAGAAACACTGATTCTCACAGCTGTCTCCTGCAGGGCACACCTGATCACAGGAGCACAACCACAGAAAGTTAAAAGTTAGATTTTATTACCTGAATCACAAATGACATAAAAACCCAAAGATGCACGCAGACCTGTGGGTGACACTCGTACTGCAGCATGCGGTTGAGACACTGGGACTCCAGGCTGCAGGGATGCTCGTCTGCTGGCTTGCAGTTGCATCGCTGAATTTCTGACAAGTCGGCCACGTGCACCTGAACTTTCCCCACAGGCTTGTTGGACTGACAGGAAAACAAAGCAGCCACAGAATTAGTAACAACCCTGAAGACTTGACGATCAAAACTTATAACCACCTTTTGGTCTTTCCATCTGCTCACCTTGATGAACTTGTAGGGTGGTGGTTTGCGAGAATTGCGGTCCTGTTTTAGAGCCTCCCTGCTCTCCCTCTGCGCCTTAAGCTCCTGAAAGCGCCGGGCTGCTTCTTCCAGAGCTAAAAGATGAATAGCGACTCAGAAAATCATCTTTTCTTTTGGCTTGAAGTGAAATCACAACAGATTAGAAGGAAGGATTTTAGGAATATGTTACCTTTCTTGAAGGTTTTGTTAATATTGATCTGTCCTGTGACAAAGTTCTTGTCATTCTCCACGTATGGGAAGACGCGGCCTTGGTTGATCCAGTAGTAGTCATGGGAACCAAAGAAGAAAACCGGGAAGTCACCAATATCGTGCCGAAGACTCTGAATGTTTGATGGCACCAGACGAGGGTTGCAGATCTCTGCAGGCCACCACCTGGCAGGCAAGGGACATCATTAGAAAATCAAGGGCAAAAGTGAATAAGAATAAAAATACCTATAGGCCACAGAAGCCTGTGATATGAAATTCCACAATCTAAATTTACAGATAAATCCACGATGCAGCGAGTCCTCGAAAAGGTGAACCATGACTTGGAGAGGAAATACTGTATTTATTTGTTTCTGCCTAGAAATGTTGTTTTTTTAAATCAAATTCAGAGCTGCTTCATCAACAGATTAATAATTATCTGTGTACACACCTTTAATCTGCCAGAAGATTCTAAACTGTGAGACAAATATTGAGCCTGACTGACAGTCAGTGTGAGAGTGAAAAGCACTGCTCAGTGTTTCCTGAATACCTGCATTTATATTATCACATCCTGTTTCCCCATGAGGTGTGAAAACAATGTGCTACACCGAGTTTAAACAGACCAAGACCAACAATCTGCATGCACGCAACCCCCTGACATGTTTGCGGTTCTCAGGCTCATATTAGATTTCTTCCTGCTGCAGACGCAAGTAAAAAACAGATCGTTTAAACCACTGACAGCTCAGCTAAATAAAATAGTCTAGTTACAAGATCCTCTATGATGGGGTGGGATATATTAGGCAGCTGGTTAACAGTCTATTCTTAAAACGTATGTGTTAGAAGCTGAAAAAATAGGTTGTGTGTCTCTCAAAGATTTAAGAGACAAACTGCGATGCATGTCCTGTTTTGCGTTGCCAGTACACAGCATTTACCAACAGAGGCCCATGGGAACACAAGCAGACAACTGAGATTACTGTCTCTGATAACACTGAGGAATAAAGGCTGTCCTGTGTAGCTGATCTGCCGGATGAGCTACTGTAGCACAAATAAGTGAAACTCTTAATGGTGGTCATGAGAGACTGATGAATAAAACAGTCAGCACTCTCATGCTAGCTTTAAGCACAAGCAGTGGTCATGTGAGCATCAAAAATGGATCACTGGTTGTCTAGTCTGATGAATCATGTCTTCTTTACGTCATGTGAACGGCTGGGTGAGTGTGTGTTGTTTACCTGGGGAAGAAATGGTAAATGGCCTGTATTTGTATAGCGCTTTACAAATCCTTAAGGACCCCAAAGCACTTTACACATCCAGTCATCCACCCATTCACACACACATTCACACACTGGTGATGGCAAGCTACATTGTAGCCACCCTGGGGCGCACTGACATGGCAGTTAGGATGCACTATGGAAAGAATAATAGCTGACAGAGACAGTGTGATGCTCCTATCAGTGTTTTTTGTATTCATGTGGTTGTTACGATGACATGGAACAAACACTGTTGCATGACCAGATACATAACTTCATTGCAGGCGTTCACTCTGATGGTGTTTTCTAGCAGGAATGGAGAATGACTATCTTCACAGATTGATGATGATTTCTTTTGTCTTCTGCTCGGTTTAATTTTAGTGTCTTTTATTTTAACCTTTTATTATGAATACTGGCTTTTGTAAAGGAGTTTGTAACTCTTGAGAGGAAAAAGTGCTAAATAAACAAATATTGCTTGGGTCTCCAAAGTCTCTAAATCCTCATTCTGACTGAGCAGCAACTTGCAGGACTTAAAGGCTCTTCTGCTAACGTCATGGTACCCGATACTAAAGGAAACATTCAGTGGATTCTATGCCTTGATGCGTCAGACACAGTGTTGGCAGCACTAGGGGGACATAAACGGTATTAGGAAGGTGGTTTTAATATTGTGGCTGATTGTTGGTCTTAATTTTTTTAAGGCTCTGGACAAAAGATACTTGAACAGTTTCAGCTTCTGTGGCAGATTTAAATGATCAAGACTAGAAGGATTATTATAAGAAAGGAAACAGTATTGCTGGTCATTACTGGGTTTCTGGACAACAGCGGAGGTCTACGACACAGAAGACTCTACGTGCAATCAACTTTCTGTGTTTTTTTTTAAAAATAGGATTAAAAGGTATAAATCATGCACTGAAATCTCTGTTGGTTAAATCTTGTTATCAGGCACCAGCCTGATTAGGGTTGATTGAGACTTTATATATGTATATAACTGAGAGGCTTAAATCTGCCCCTTACAAACACTCCAGTCTGGGTCTTCATATCAGGTACACAGAACCTTAGATGAATAATGACAAATTTGCCAAAATGCAGAAGCAGTATGTGGACAGACTTAGACACACCATTACTGCTTCTCTATTATCTCAATACAGCTCTTCTCTCTCAGACTTTTAGGCTTACTTGTGGTTCCTCCGATATTTAAAAGTAGAATGGGAGGCAGAGCCTTCTGCGTTCAGGTCCTCCTTCCATGCAACCAGATCACAGTTTGGATTCAGGAGACAGACCCCTCTCTGCCTTTATGACTAGCCTTAAAACGTTCCCTTTTTGAAAAAGCATATAGTTAAAACTGGATCAGGTGACCCTCAACCCTAGGCCGCTGGGGGGGTTCCTATGGTACGTTGTTCTTCTTCACTCACCTCTTTTCACTCTCTATGTATAGGGGTGGCTGTAGCTCAGGTGGTAGAGCAGCTCTCCTACTACTTGGAAGGTTACATAGAAAGAGCATAGAAAAAATGGGCTAATGAGGCAAGTTGTGTAACTCTTAAAATGATCAGATAGTGGCAAAGAAGTTATACAAGATGCATTCCTCAGTTAGCATGGTAGATGTAAAAATTCACAACAGTATGTGCTGCTAGGAGAAAGTTGAAAATGTTGAAAAAAGTGGAGATGTCTGAACACAGCAGGACGTTTGGAGAAATCCAAACACCTTATATCAAACATGGTGATGATTGGTGCTTGTTTAGCAGTCACTTAATCAACTATAAGCCTCTGTTTACCAAAGTACTCTAGGGTCTAATGTGAGGTCATAAATAAAGCTTGGCTGAAATTGGGTCATGCAACATGACAATGATCCAAAGCACAAAATCTACTATATAATAACCTGACCTCAACCCAATTAAAATGTCTGAAATTGTAAGGAATGGGCCAAAATTCCTCCATTATGCTTTGAGAAACTGATAAACTCATACAGATCATGATTACTTTAAGTTATTTCACACTTGCTAAAGGCAGTTCTACAATCACACGCTACTTTTGGATTTTAGTTTTTGACATTAACCTCCTAGGACCTGGAGTTCACATATGTGGACATCACATCTTAGGATGTCTAGACCAAAATACTTAATTTTCCTCTACAAGGCCTGATATCCACGTACAAGGACATTATGCTGCCACTGTTCTATCAAAATTTAAAATAAATGTCCTCATATGTGGATCTCATTTTTAAGGAACAAAATTCAGTAAAAAAAATAAAAATAAATCTGGTAATTCTTTGTTTTTACATTCATCAGGTACCAATCAGCTCAAATAGCAAAGAAAAATTTAAAATGCATGCCATGAAAGTTTGGGTCTTAGAAGGTTAATGGCATGATCTATTTTCTCTTTGCCACGACTGTATAATAACTCCACTGCAGAGTGGTAAGAATTTGCCCCTGGATGCATTTTGCTCTGGTTCACTTTGTTCTCACCAAACAATTTAAAAAAAAAAAGAAGCCACACACAGTGGGAGTGTTTCACTGAGACAGAGTACAGCTTTATTAAAGTCAAACTTCAGGCATGTCTGAACTCTTCAAACTCAACTTTCGAATGAAAAAGGACAGAATCAATATCCTCAAATAAAAAGACAGTCATGTACAAAAAGAGTGTCGTCTCAACAGTCACACACATTTAGAAGCAGAATTTTACAGGCAAAAAGAGCACGCCACAGTAACAAGATCCTATGCAAGTTCAATGCAAACTATTTACAAGTTCTTCAACAATAATGTAGTATGCAGTAACACAGGTTGAACAGTAATTAACATGGTATTTTGTGTTCATCCACTTTTTAATTGAAGCAACACCAAGAGAGATAGATATGACCCCAGTTAGAGTTACTGTAAGCAATTTTACTACAAGTAAAAAGAGATCATGAGTGCTTATGAAGGTGAATTTATTTATTTATTCCAACACTATTTGACAGCATGTTAATTTAAAAAAACCCCAAAAAAACCTAAATGACAGTCGGCAACATTGCACAAAATACAAAAGACATCACAGTGAACTGAAACATGCCCTTTGACACAGAGACAGGGGGTGGAAAACAAAATCAAATCCTCCTTAGGCGTATTTAAGGGCCACTTAAATGAGAGCAAACATGCTGTCTCTTCAAACCAAAACATACACACCAGACAGTTTCTGAAGTAACTCAGATGGACACTTAAATAATACTGCTTCTTTGTCAGGCAGGAGGGCCGGGAGAGGACAAACTGGCACAAAAAAATGAGCGCGATCATGCAATCTGCAGGTGCGAAGGAAAATAAAGGCTGTTCGGTTTTGCAGAATCTCTGTGCAATACAATAAAAAAACCCAAAAAAACCAACCAAACAAAAAAACATTGGCAATAAGTCGTGGTCTGGAAGCATGCAGTTCAGCTAAGCAACAGAAAAAAAACAGAAGCTTTAAGACAAGTTTTATCATCATAAATGATCGCTTTTGTTTAAGCAGATAACACGAGTCAGGGATGCCTACGGTTCGATAATCATACACGTACGAAACCTGTGCTCAAAAAAACCCAAACCTAAGCAAACAAACAGTACATCAATAAATTAAAAAAAAGAAAGAAAGAAAGAAAGACACTAAAGTTTAGACGCACAGACCTTTTGGAGTACACAAATAGGTGCTTTAGTCATGGACCTACTTGATTATCAAGGAATACAGTTGTAAAAAGAAAAGAAAAACTAGAAGTGCTTAATTGCATTAAAAACAAAACAAATACAACTATCCCCTTTTTTTCGCCTCCAGGAATCCCATCTTAAAAAAGGCTTCCTGAAAGGCACAAAACAACAGGAATTATAGGAAAGAAACTGCCGAATGCAGAAGAGTGAGAGACTTTAACTTGAAGGGGGCAAAAAGTTCATAGTTCAAGCTTTTCTATGCATTTCTGAATGCACATCAGTCAATTAAAACAGAAGTCTGACCCCAAAAAGTTCATTTCCCCGTGGTCGAATTAAATCTGACTTTAACGTCCCCGTTTTCACAAATATCTGTTGTCGGACATTAAAAAAGTCAGGTGATTATCACAGCGAGTGAGTAGGCATCAGGTGTCCTGCCTCAAACTTTGCCTAAACTAATCAGGTCTTGTGTTGTGTGCCACAAGCGAGAATCAGTGAGAATCAGTGTCCAGAGGTCGTTCAAGGCCTCACACTTAAACTGAAATCCTGTAGCGCACAGAAACCGGACTTGTGCATATTAACATAATTTGTCAATGAACGGTGAGTATTTTCAAACAACTAAAACACGTCTAGTACGTCTTATTTTTCTGCATTCGGAGGCTTTTATTCTTTCTCTGTCATGATTTACAGCCAGCTGCCAGTTTATTAGGTAAAACCAACAACAACCCACACTGCTATCAGGCCTGAAATAAAATTTTAAAGAAAGCTATAATGCTCAGCTTTTGTTTTTAGAGGTGGCAAATTTTTTAGAGCAGGGTGTCAAACAAAAGGCCCGGCCGGGGGCCAGAACTGGCCTGACAAAGTCTCCAATCTGTCCAGCTTTGGAAATATTAAGGGGATAAACTTTTGGACTTTTAACTGTGTTTTTACAGTTACTAAGTATCAAAGTGGGCTGCATGTGGCCTTTGATGTATAATAAGTTTGACATCCCTGTTTTAGAGGCCGGAGAATATAACTGTCCATTTAGAAGCTGTAGCGTAACAAGAGGTTGGATACAATCCCAGCTGGTGACTGGGCAAGAGGTGGCGTAGAGATCATCCTTTCAGATATTTACCCCCGATTAATCTATCAGCATCGACATCTGAACGAGTTTACGACTCATGCAATCCCACTAAAGATTAGGACTGCACATGCTCCTCAGCTCAGTAAAGAATACCTTAAACAACAATATAAAGAACATAATGTCATTTTAACTCACTGGCTCAGTTTTTATTAGCACTTAAAATAAAAACATTCGTCTGCGAAAACAGATCTCTCTTAGTGATGTACCAGTGTGGGTAGACTGAAGTCAGCCTCAACAACACTCAGGTAAACAAGAAAATAAAAAAAATAATAATAATAAAAAAAAAAAAAACGCACCTGAGTGTCAGCACCTTGAAGCCCTGTATGTTTCATATCATGTCTGAAAAAGGCTCCATTTATTCTACCGTCATCAACATCAGTAGAAAAATAATGAGCATTATAACCTCCTCGAAGTTTTATCCCAGTTCTGAAGTTCTATCTAATAAACGGGCAACTGAGTGTTTAAAAAGACCCTAAATCACCTAAATTGATTGGAAACATTGGCACCATTTTACCCTGTTGCACTTTTTTTTTCTTTTTTTTTTTAAAGAGAAAATACATCTTTTAAGGGCACAAAAAAACAAAACAAACATCAGTGTAACTGAGGAAGAATACAAAGCAAGGCGCGATCACAGAAAAGCTTCCTTCAGTGACAACCACCTGAGTCCGGGCTGCAAAACCTGCTCTGAAACAGAAACTTTACATTCCAATACTGAAGTGCTTCACACTGCTTTTAAACACCAATTACAGTGAGTCACGACACAGGCTGATGAGCAGCGGCTGTTACCGGATGTGGAATCATTACACCAAATGTTTAAAAAAAAAAAAAAAAAAAACAAGAAAAAGAAAGAAAATACAGGTATATTACGTAAAACTCCCCATATGTTTTTTTAAGCCTATTTCCTTACAGAGGGAGACAAGTTACTGCACTGGTGTTTGAAAAAGAAATTGGTATAAAATGTGGTGCAATAAATACAAAAATTTGAGATTTGACGATGAGCGATTAAAAACACTGTACAGAAGTTTGTACATTATACTGGACTGAACTGTTGTTACACCATTACGTCTCCATATAAAGCCCAGCCTTAAGAGTTTTCTCAAGCTGGAAAATGAAGAAGTGTCTCTGGAGGACACGGAGGACATTTTTTTTTGTTTTCTTTTTTTTTTTTTTTGGACGAAGCTGGGTTGGCAGTCTTTCCTACTTGTGTGCCAAAGAAAAATGTAAAAGAAAACAAACAATAAAAGAAATATGAAACAAAAATAAAATAAAATAAAATAAAAACAGCATTTAGGCCACTTTCCTCAGAAGAAACAAGCCACACCCAGCGCTCACCACGTTTCTGACCGAGAGGCAAAAAGTTACAACACAGTTTAACTTCCAATAATACAAGAAGAAGAGGTATCCATTTTGAAACACTTGTCATATGTTCTTTTAATATACATTTCTGTATACGTATGACCTAGCTAAGGTGAGTAGCAATGAGCCGCGTGAAAGTGCTTTTCAGAAAAAGTCTGGCAAAAAACCCCAAATCCCCGAAAACAAAAGAGCCGTCACAGTACGCCGAACCGAAACAACCGAAGTGGACTGCATCTGGGCAGTAGTAACTACAGCTAAAAACCCAAACTTAAGGCTTATTAACACTTCTTTAAGACAGCACCAGTGATCACAAGCTGGGCCCCTTCATCTACTTTGCAAATAACTAATTGGAGGAAACATGAAAACATAGCTTTAAAGAAAGAATTTTTTTAAAAAGGATCTGTCTTGTTTTTTTTTTTTCAATTATTATTACAAAAAAAAAAAGAAAAAAGAAAAAGCTTTTCCATCTTCCAAGAACAATCAGAGAGGTGAGGCTCCGCCCCCTCCTGATCTTTTTAGTATTTTACAATATTGTGAGCCAATTATGTACACAATGGCGAGTGAGACTGGCAATATGAAAATCACAAGAACTTCTGAAATGTCATACCATTTCACTATATACCATTATATTTCACCTTAATAGGACTATTTTCACAAGGAGGTCTGCGTAATGTTCAACACCTAAACAAACATAATACACCACTCACTGAGATGAAGTGAGAGAATCTGTCTGTAAACATTAACAAACATAGATACTGTATATAATTATATTTATCTATACCCATAAGCATATTAAAACCATGTTTAAGGAAAGTTGGAATGTAGTGTGGTCCTGGAAAAAAACAAATTGCACGAAATTGGTCATTTCCCCGCCGCTCCTTTTCTCTAACAGATAAAGAGGATGACAGATCACGAGAAAAGCTGGCTCGTCTCCATCCTAAAGCCACCCTGTGTGTGAGACCACAGCTTACAGCAGGTAAACAAGGAGAGGAGCAGCTTGGTGGTGATGGAGAGCTTCAGCTCCCACATCCTTTTCCTCCTCTCTGCCCCTTCCTCCACCTCACTCAGTGAGTTCTTCAAAGTGCCAGGAACTGGAGACGTGACGACGCTTACACTGCTTTAAAAAGAAAGAAAGAAAAAAAAATAGCAGTAAAAATTTAAAAACAACATAATGAGGTGGTGGCCTGGGCCCTCCAGTGGGCGCAGGCGAGCTGCAGAGAGTGTAAGTAGTGGTGTTTTATGGCAAGACAGGAGGGAAAACGGTGCCTGATGATTTCTGGTCCTTCTCCTACTGTCGCCACAAAACAGCATCAAGGTGTTCGTCAGCGTGTCTCAGCTCTGAGTTGCGGCCATTGCATGTGTCAAAAAAAAGAAAAAGAAAAAAAGCACTGTATTCCCTGTTGTAGTGCACTGCTTAGGATCAGAGGTGGATTGGAGCACACTTTGCAGGGAATGAGGTATTAAGGGTTTTATCACTCCGTGGCCGGCTGGCCTGACTCCGGCTCCTCTTTGACTCTGACGGGACTCTGAGCGGAGCGCCGCTGCTGGGTGGAGCTGGATTTGGCCCCCAGGGGACTGAGCGGGTTGTGGCTGGAACAACAGAGGCGGTCGTCCAGGGAGGAGGTGGTGAGCGCCCCCGCCTCATGATCCCGGCAGAAGGAGCGAGGGCAGAAGTCACAGAGAGATGAGGCCGGGTTGCTGCAAACGCTGCAGTCATGCCACGGGCATTCCCACCGCCCTGGAGACAGGAAATGGGTTAATTACAGACGCATCAAGTCAGAGAACTGAAAAAGGAGATTATTTAAAAATAAATGTCACATATAGCCCACCACATCTGCAGTCCACTTGACATGTCAATCACAACTCTGATCATCACACTTCGTGTTTTCTTTGATTGGGAAAACTGGTGTAAAGCATGTGAACCAGATTACAAATGAGTATGTGCTGATCTTTGATATAGGCCCAGGACGAGCCTTCCTGTTAACTGTCACACTGCTGAGAGATCGTCATCTAGACACTAATTCAGCACAGAAGTCAAAACAGACGGATAAAGGTAAAAAGTGTCCAATCAGTGTAACATCTACCTCCACCGAGTAGCTTAATTTTTATATGCTCCATTACATTTCTGATAAAAACAAAAGCTTTAAAAATAAATGGAGTGGATGTCTCTCCCTGCCTCCTTCAGACACTTCTGCATCCGTGTCCCAGCTACAAATCCAAAATGGAAAGCTCATGGAAAACTGATGCATAAGGACAGCATACAGGGGTGGATGGGAACAGTGACTTAAATGCTGTGCTTTCCACCACCTGTGTCGTCTTCCTGCTGTGCTGATTTATTTTCTGTCGTGGAGTGAACTGATTTTTGAGGACAGGAGTTTCCAACCTCAAAAAGAGATCCCAAACAAAAACTTGAGCTGTCAATGAGATGATTTACAGAACAGGAAATTCTTCTAATATCCTGTCCTAATACATCTGCTTTAATTTCCGGTACATTACTGATAACTTAGTATTATAGAGAAGGTTTGAAAGTACAGACAGCCAATTAAAAAAAACAAAAACCCTGGAAAACTGCAAGAAACTGACCTGCAGAAACGTTTCAGGAGCAACACAAACTAAACAAAAGCATGCAGAAAGTCATTTCTGTCGTTACCGTATGGCGGTTTGGTGAGGTTGAGACACAGCAGGTGATACGCTTTTGGGCACTCCTTCCTGTCACACATCACCAGCTCTCCTCCTTTTCCGCAGCAGAAGCAAAAGTACTCGTGTGTGTGTTTGCCCTCCGGCCGCAGTTTCCGCTTCTTCTGCTTCATCTTTGCATTCCTGGCCTTTTCCTCTTTCTCCGTCACTGCAGCACTCTGCAGGAAATGTGATAAAACAAGAAAGAGGTATCAAACACAGGTTCCAAACTTGGCTGCTCCTTCTTAGGTACTCTGAATTTTAATGGGGATGACAAACATCCTCACCGATGGCTGGACCCCAAGAAATCCAGAGCAGTTGTCTGATCCACAGTGACACGACGTTCTCCTGTTGCCCACACAGTGCAGATTGTAGTTAAACGTCAGCTCTGTGCCTGCAGGGACACCAGGGAGAAGAGCAACATTAAATGGGAATCATCCAACTTGCTCTCAGTCCATTTAATATACATGAAGGAAAATGTGTGTCAGAGCTGCAGATTAACTCACCAGCCTCGATGTCACAAAGGGCAAAGATTCCAATACGAACGTCGCCGTTTACCGTCCACTTCTGGGTTTCGCAGTTTGGGCTGCAGCTGTGGTTAATAAACCGAGACGAGTTTCCTTTTGGGCCAGCGTCGATGACACGATCCTACCGGGAAGACGTGAGTATTAAGACACCAGAGTTTAGGAAATGTTCTTCTGTGGACGATTTATGTATCAGGGATGTTATGTGAACTGACCCCAAATCGGACAAGGAAATGAATGGATGAACAAATAAATGGGACAGTCAAGGACTGAAAAATTAAATCAATGAGGAAGTGAAAAAAACAAAACAATTTAAGATCACTGAAAAGTATGTTAGAGTCTTTTGGGGGCGTTTCTAATGGATTATCTGACTAATATTACAACTTGTTGTATGTTATCTATTGTTGTTAGCATTGTGTATCCTGAGTGTCCATTAAACGTCACAGATGTTACCTTGGTGAGGGTGAGCATGTAGAAGTTGGTCACATGATTTTCATGGGCACGTTTGATTCGCTGCTGGCACTCTTCTGAGTCTATCACCTCTCCCACATACTCGGCCACAAAGTCACCCTGCAGGAAACAACAAACACATTTATATTGTTTTAGTTATTACACAGACACGCACTTAAAAATTACTTATTGCTAGGAAGCAGACTGACAACAAATAACAAACACACATATGAGAACCACTGATTTGCTGAACCTTTACACTCTTGCCTGGCAGATGAAACTGATTTCTAGATTTTTGAATTTACACATCTAGAAACTGCTACTGCACTCAGATGTTTTTGTTTGTATGCAGAAGAAGATACTTATAGCATAAATGAACATATGTTAACAAATATCACAGACACTGGGGCGTTTAAAAGCTTTTCTGCAGGGTAGGCAGCTTGCAAGATTAATAAGAAGAGCTTTTATTGTAATCTATTCAGTTTTTTTTATTTTTCAGTATTTTTCTATGTTTAATTTGATTGTTAAACTAATTTAGATTGCTTTATTTAACATTTCAGCTTGTAGCAAATACAAATCAGATGTGCTGATGCTCTTTAGATGAAAGGTCTGCATTTTAAGTGCAGCGCCCACCTTCTTCAGTGCCTGGTTTGTCCTGAGGCCCCAGCCACACCCTTCCGTCTTTATCACTTCTGTTTCTGCATACAGCCGTTTGGAGAAACACTGATTCTCACAGCTGTCTCCTGCAGGGCACACCTGATCACAGGAGCACAACCACAGAAAGTTAAAAGTTAGATTTTATTACCTGAATCACAAATGACATAAAAACCCAAAGATGCACGCAGACCTGTGGGTGACACTCGTACTGCAGCATGCGGTTGAGACACTGGGACTCCAGGCTGCAGGGATGCTCGTCTGCTGGCTTGCAGTTGCATCGCTGAATTTCTGACAAGTCGGCCACGTGCACCTGAACTTTCCCCACAGGCTTGTTGGACTGACAGGAAAACAAAGCAGCCACAGAATTAGTAACAACCCTGAAGACTTGACGATCAAAACTTATAACCACCTTTTGGTCTTTCCATCTGCTCACCTTGATGAACTTGTAGGGTGGTGGTTTGCGAGAATTGCGGTCCTGTTTTAGAGCCTCCCTGCTCTCCCTCTGCGCCTTAAGCTCCTGAAAGCGCCGGGCTGCTTCTTCCAGAGCTAAAAGATGAATAGCGACTCAGAAAATCATCTTTTCTTTTGGCTTGAAGTGAAATCACAACAGATTAGAAGGAAGGATTTTAGGAATATGTTACCTTTCTTGAAGGTTTTGTTAATATTGATCTGTCCTGTGACAAAGTTCTTGTCATTCTCCACGTATGGGAAGACGCGGCCTTGGTTGATCCAGTAGTAGTCATGGGAACCAAAGAAGAAAACCGGGAAGTCACCAATATCGTGCCGAAGACTCTGAATGTTTGATGGCACCAGACGAGGGTTGCAGATCTCTGCAGGCCACCACCTGGCAGGCAAGGGACATCATTAGAAAATCAAGGGCAAAAGTGAATAAGAATAAAAATACCTATAGGCCACAGAAGCCTGTGATATGAAATTCCACAATCTAAATTTACAGATAAATCCACGATGCAGCGAGTCCTCGAAAAGGTGAACCATGACTTGGAGAGGAAATACTGTATTTATTTGTTTCTGCCTAGAAATGTTGTTTTTTTAAATCAAATTCAGAGCTGCTTCATCAACAGATTAATAATTATCTGTGTACACACCTTTAATCTGCCAGAAGATTCTAAACTGTGAGACAAATATTGAGCCTGACTGACAGTCAGTGTGAGAGTGAAAAGCACTGCTCAGTGTTTCCTGAATACCTGCATTTATATTATCACATCCTGTTTCCCCATGAGGTGTGAAAACAATGTGCTACACCGAGTTTAAACAGACCAAGACCAACAATCTGCATGCACGCAACCCCCTGACATGTTTGCGGTTCTCAGGCTCATATTAGATTTCTTCCTGCTGCAGACGCAAGTAAAAAACAGATCGTTTAAACCACTGACAGCTCAGCTAAATAAAATAGTCTAGTTACAAGATCCTCTATGATGGGGTGGGATATATTAGGCAGCTGGTTAACAGTCTATTCTTAAAACGTATGTGTTAGAAGCTGAAAAAATAGGTTGTGTGTCTCTCAAAGATTTAAGAGACAAACTGCGATGCATGTCCTGTTTTGCGTTGCCAGTACACAGCATTTACCAACAGAGGCCCATGGGAACACAAGCAGACAACTGAGATTACTGTCTCTGATAACACTGAGGAATAAAGGCTGTCCTGTGTAGCTGATCTGCCGGATGAGCTACTGTAGCACAAATAAGTGAAACTCTTAATGGTGGTCATGAGAGACTGATGAATAAAACAGTCAGCACTCTCATGCTAGCTTTAAGCACAAGCAGTGGTCATGTGAGCATCAAAAATGGATCACTGGTTGTCTAGTCTGATGAATCATGTCTTCTTTACGTCATGTGAACGGCTGGGTGAGTGTGTGTTGTTTACCTGGGGAAGAAATGGTAAATGGCCTGTATTTGTATAGCGCTTTACAAATCCTTAAGGACCCCAAAGCACTTTACACATCCAGTCATCCACCCATTCACACACACATTCACACACTGGTGATGGCAAGCTACATTGTAGCCACCCTGGGGCGCACTGACATGGCAGTTAGGATGCACTATGGAAAGAATAATAGCTGACAGAGACAGTGTGATGCTCCTATCAGTGTTTTTTGTATTCATGTGGTTGTTACGATGACATGGAACAAACACTGTTGCATGACCAGATACATAACTTCATTGCAGGCGTTCACTCTGATGGTGTTTTCTAGCAGGAATGGAGAATGACTATCTTCACAGATTGATGATGATTTCTTTTGTCTTCTGCTCGGTTTAATTTTAGTGTCTTTTATTTTAACCTTTTATTATGAATACTGGCTTTTGTAAAGGAGTTTGTAACTCTTGAGAGGAAAAAGTGCTAAATAAACAAATATTGCTTGGGTCTCCAAAGTCTCTAAATCCTCATTCTGACTGAGCAGCAACTTGCAGGACTTAAAGGCTCTTCTGCTAACGTCATGGTACCCGATACTAAAGGAAACATTCAGTGGATTCTATGCCTTGATGCGTCAGACACAGTGTTGGCAGCACTAGGGGGACATAAACGGTATTAGGAAGGTGGTTTTAATATTGTGGCTGATTGTTGGTCTTAATTTTTTTAAGGCTCTGGACAAAAGATACTTGAACAGTTTCAGCTTCTGTGGCAGATTTAAATGATCAAGACTAGAAGGATTATTATAAGAAAGGAAACAGTATTGCTGGTCATTACTGGGTTTCTGGACAACAGCGGAGGTCTACGACACAGAAGACTCTACGTGCAATCAACTTTCTGTGTTTTTTTTTAAAAATAGGATTAAAAGGTAGAAATCATGCACTGAAATCTAAACTATCACTATCTTATCCTTTAAATGCATCCATACCACAAAGTGACAGCTGCATAACCCTCAGCTGTCCCCAATCTGTGCTTCCTACCTGTAGTTGCCTAGTTTGACCCAGACAATTTGTTTGTAGTGAGGTTTCTTCCCTGCCCTGCAATCGCTGCAGGACCACGACCCCTCCGGCATCTCCATCTCCAGACACTCCGGGTGGAAGGAAGCTGGGCATGAGTCGCAGCACAGCAACTTGCCTCCTACATTTGTATGGATGTATACATGTGTGTGTTTGCGTATGTGTGTATGGATGTGTGTTTGTGTTTGTATGTGTGTATGTGTGTGTGTGTGTGCATGCGTTGTGGGGAGGGGGTGGGTATGCAAAGAGAGGAGGAGTGCATGATTAGGTGATGCACCTTAACACCTGGTCAAACTCTGAATCTCATTTGCAGACAAGCCTATTAACTAAAAGTACAACTAGTACAAAGTCTATAAATACAGAATACAATCGTGGTTTTCTAGCTTCTAATGTGAGTTAAAACAGTGTTCCTTAGGAAGACATTCCTACCACAATAACATCTGGCTATTAATCTAAATGAAAAACTAAGGCTAGGACCTTCTGGTCTGAGTGAAGCCTCCTGTAACAGCCTGACGGCATGAATGAAATGATTGGAAACCCTGCATGGGTTTCCTGGTTTGGGTATAGCATTTTATTGCAGCGGTTACAGCATGTCTGGCAATCAGATTCAGAGCACTGTACCAAGACCAGTCTTATGGGAAATACATGCGGTAGCACCGGAATAAAAATCAGCCAGCAGGTTAACAATGAATCAGGGTTATACTCAAATAACAAAGTACTGGCAAAAAGCCGGCATGCAGTCCAGCTCATAAAGCAAACTTCCCATCACACATATCACATTCTGCACAGACCAGCTTGCATGGAATCAAATCTTTACAGTATTTCCATTTCCAAAATGTAATTTAAAAAAAAAATGCAATAGCAGAATTATAATTTTTAAAAAAGAAGAAAAAACCCTGTAATTTAACCTCCATCACCCGGAAACAATTCTTTGCTTAATTGTACTAAATGATTAGGATTATATTCCATCCAAGGCAGGTCAAAGCTCAAAAACATGAGGGGAGCCAAAATGTCATACTGTTTGAAATTTTCAGTCAAAAACAAACTTAGTTGCAGTTGCCATAAAAGAGGTGACGCCGGACGAGGTCTTTCAAATCAAAACCAAGCCCAGAGTGTTGAAGCAGAGAAGCAATGCGCCTCCAGCAGCGAGAAGCTCCACAAACCACAGAGAGAACCTGAACCAACCCAGAGCGTCCGTCCCTGCATTGGGACTTCATACATCCATGCTGCAGGTCTAAGGACCAATTTTATTTTACCAGCAGATAAACTGATTTATTTTCTTTATAACCGACTATTTTAGCAAAGAAGTTTGTAGATTGGTTGCTGATGCGCAACCAATTTTACGATGGGCCTCATGCAAGAACCTCTCATACAAACAAAGCAGATCTACGATAAATAAGAACTTTTCACGTTCAACAGGATGAGTGAACAAAATTCATGAGCTGTTCAGATTAGTTGTGTTAAAAAGAGATTTTTCCACATTAGTCTGACTTTTAGCTTTGCACTAACCATCCTTTATTCCAGCGGTCCCCACCCCCCGGGCCCTGGACTCGTACCGGTCCGTGAGTCGTTTGGTACCGGGCCGCGAGAGTTGAGGCTCAGGTGTGAAATATATGGTTTTCAGGGTTTTTATCGGTTTTCAGCATTATTTTGTTATCATTTTTATTGTTAACTCGGTTTTCCTCGGTCTTTTCATGTGTGTTATGAATAAATCTTCTTTTTTTCGGTACCGGTACTAGTTTTATTTTGTTGTATTTATCTGCGACACCTTAAAGGCCGGTCCGTGAAAATATTGTCGGGCATAAACCGGTCCGTGACGCAAAAAAGGTTGGGGACCGCTGTTTTATTCTGTAATTGACTTAAAAGACGAATAACCAAATACCTCTCATCCTGCTGAACAGTATCCGTGTTTGTGACACTGGTTCCTCTTCATTGCTTCCCATCGTAACTTTGCAGAGAGAATTTGTCGCCTCTAACTTCATGCCAAATTATTCCCTTTTATACATGTAGAGTACTGTACAAAGGTTTAAAGGCATTTCAATGTTTAGGTTCTTATCTTTCAAATAGTACCAGGGTGTCAGGGAACGGTCTGCTCAGCCAAACTCACATCATAGATGCCCAAATATTCAGCCAAAGTCATAAAGCTATAAAGAAGTATCTTTAGCATCAAAAAGAAAACATCCTGACACCTTAGAGTCGGTCTTGGAAAGTCTGCAAGGTTTCATTTACTCTGGAAAACACTTCTTTTTGACTCTGAGAATAATCATAATTTACAAAACAACATTCATGTTTTATTCAATATGACCCCAAAGAAGTCAATGAGCCAGTAAAGTCATGAACGCGTTTACTTTGATACAACCAGAAGTGTCTTTGCAATGACCATTACCACAGAAGACATGTTTGGCTTTACTTTTCAGACCCAGAAGCTACGTCCATCTTTTATAGAGTCTATCGTAATAACATACTTAGGCAAATGAGATGTGTTATTTCAGTTATGTCGCTATCTCTTTTAATTTTGTTGATTAATGAACAAGCACAAATGTATCTTTTTCATATCTTTAATATGAATACGCAGCCATGAGGCCTAGTTGTATAGTACAGTGACAATATCCACGGATTGATTGCCTTAAATAGTACAAATTTTGCATAAATGAATAAATTCAATCTATATAATTGCACACCAAACTCCAGCGAGTCGGTAATTCCTCACTCCAGCTTCATCAGTTAAAGAATCGCCTTTTTTGTCCTTTTATTATATACAAGAGCACAATTTCTGCCTAATCTACTGCACTATTATTGTGTGACAATGAGTCAGCAGCACACAGCTAAACAGAATTGATGTACACTTGTGCCTTTCTAAATGTAATATCTTTGAAAGACCAATTTTACAATAATTTTACTTTTGTGACTCTGGCTTCTCATATACAACTCTTCAATGAGAGGCTTGGGATGAGAGCACAAGACTTAATTCTTGCATGAGGCCCACTGTTGTTTTGTTAATGTGTTAGGGAACTTGGCTGAAGTTACTCTGCGTCACTCTGCGTTAAAATTAACTGCATGTGTAGTCAGTTAATTAACTTTGCACCTCAAGGCTTTGAAATGAAAGATGTGTACAAAAAGGGAGGGAGGGGGGGTTAGAATGGGAGCAGGCACAACACAAACACAGACCAGTGGGACAAAGGAGAAAGAGAAAAACTGTTCAGTTACCTTTCCCAACATTCTTTTTGGTAGCTGACGAAGGAGAGGGAATCATAGGTAATTTCAACTCAGCACGATTTGACTCAGTCAGAAGGTAGTGGGACTTATAGGCATATGAACTTAATATGGTGTCAGTAAGGTCTTGCACTAACAGCCCTACACAAGACACACAGGAAGAGACGGGGGTGAGCCGCAGTCAAACTCGAAAATTACCCAAAGTTTACAAAAAGAGAAAGAACAAACACGCGTGCACAGCCACACAAACACACATACTCACACACAGTTGTAACACGCACAAAAAACAAAAGTAAAACAAAGTTGGTCTCAACAGAAAGAGGCCAGACAGTGCACTCAACTTGAAGTTAAATGTGAGGCTTAAACGAGCTAAAAGTCACAAAGAAAAAAAGGATGTTTTCTTTCATCGGCACTCAGGACAGACGTGGTTCTTTTAAGTGGAGTGCAGTGTAACAGCCCGACTCGTTCATAGTATTAGTATCGTGATGGAAAACAGACACAGCACTGCTATCCATGAACAACAAAGCCAAACATGAAACATGTAATATTAAAGATACCTAAATGAGATGTTACTGCGTCAAAAAGAGGTTAAAAGTGTATAAAAAACAAACAAACAAAAAAAAGATGACAATATGAGATGATGCAGGCAAGAAGAATCGATCTTGGATTTCGCCACAAGATTCAAATCGTCTGGTGTAATTAAGAACTGCTTGTGTCTGCAGCATGGGGCGAGGGGGAACGTCACTCCTTTGGCTCGGGGGTTTGTCGGTGTGTACGGTGGGGAAAGCTTACCTCGGGCACACAGGAAGCACCATCCCACGTTGACGGGGGAGGTGAGGAGGCCGTTCTTCTTGGCGCTGCCGTGGTTGCTGCAGATCATGATGTGGTGAGTAAGGATGACACTGCCTGCCGCCACGCAGCTGTCGCTGGTGTGATAGGCCAACGGACAGCGGATACAACGAATCAGACGACCTGGAGGGGAAACAGATGAGAGAGAGAGCAGATTTTACCACAATCGTGGTATAAATTTGCCTTTATGTCTTTGGCCTTGTGACATTCTCCAAGAAGGTCAAGGAAAAATGATTAGGTAGGAGGCAATCATTCTGGAGTATTCAATTGTACTCTAGGGCTGCTAAAAAATAAATACATTTAAAAAAAAAGTAAAAGACAAAAAGAGGTGCACATGGTCTGGGTCTTTATGACCAGGGTGCAAACAGAGGCCCTCAAGCCATCCTGAAGACATGCACTGGAGTCACGTGAAGACACTGCTGGAAGTAGACAGGATGAGGTGTCCTTGTAGATCCGAGATGCAGGAAGCGGCAACTGTTCTGTTTTATGCAGATTACCTTCTTTTCGGGATCATTAAAAAACAAAAATGGAAGTATAATTGGAATCCAATTAATCACTCAGCCTAACAACACAGCTCTGCTCACTTCTTTTTACTGCTGAGATTCTATTAAAAACAAATAGGTCATATTCCTTTAATGGGCTCCAGCTGTAATTAAAGGAAAGCAAAAGGAAAAAGACAACCGACTACAGAGACTTCAGCTCCAAGTTATTGAAATCTATCTTCACAGTACTTAAACAACAAAACAGAATCTGACAATAGATTTTCCATAGGGCACAAGAAAACCTGGAGATTTGTGCAGTATTTACTCAGGTTAAAAAGGGGGGAAAAAAACTAAGCTAGACAAAATGGTAAGGCTAATTTTTGAACCTAAACTATTTTTTGAAAGAAGCCATCTGAGAAGCTCAGAGGGGAAATGTGACTTTTCAACATCTAAAATAGAACAAAGTGTTACAAAAACGCAAAAGATCACAAGTCAAAAAGATTGAGAGTCACTGCTTTGGGCTGTGTAGACATATACTGAACAAAACAACACGAGTTTCTCCTGCTGGGACTGGATTTAAAATAAGTTCTTCATAAAAAGTTTTCTCCACTGTATTATAGAGACTGATGGCCTGCTGTGCCTAATCACTATTGATTTGTATTTATTTATTTTAAACAAAAGCTTCAGCTATTTGCAAATGTATCTTTTTGGTACAACTGCTCTCATTAACATTTTCACATAAAAAAATATATAGATATTAAAAGTGGATTAAAGAACCAGAGAAACATGACTTGAGAAAAATCCAGTAAAGTAACAACCTAAAACGATTTGACTCCTATCAAAGTTGCACAGGTCCTCACCTGCATCCATTTACACTTATAATGATCTTAGGTATGTGAAAAGAAATCAGTGTTATTTGATTTTTCTTTGAATCATAAAGTTTTTTCCCCATTTGTATACAAAATATAATTCACTGAAAATGATTCTTTCAGTCCTTTTCAAAGTAATTTCATGCAAAACCAGAGCAGTGTCCGGTAGGTGTTAGGCGTGTTTTTTTTCCTTTCCAGCCTTTCCTCTCTTCCCACTTGGATGACTTTCATGTCTGATGGCAAAGGTATAAATCAGTTCATTTTCCTAAGGGTTTCCCTGACATACTGGGATTGTTGTGGAGGGCTGCAACAACACACTTATAAAGAGATAAAGAGATCAAATTAAAACGGAGCAGAATTGAGTTCCACTTATTATTACAGTCTTCCACTACAGTTCCAGTTTCTCATGTGGCCCCTTGGGAAAATGAACCACGCACCCCTGGTATAAATCATAGTTGTCGATATCACTTTTAGCACCTCTGCATCGAAGCGCATCTTTTCTCATTTGCAGATATTTCCTGCAGGATAATGTACGATCGCCTAAAGACCTTTCCAGGAGCAAGCCAGTTTACTTTCTCCAGTGCTCGACAGTCTCCAGGTACTTCTCACCAAACAGAACAATTTAACTTTGACATGAAGAGGATGTTTGTGCCAAGGCTGTCACAAAGTATTCTTCATTAAATCTGGCACAAGTTCTCCCACAGTCTGTTTTCTCTGAAGAAGACACTCCTATTTACTTCTAATGCATTTAACTCTTACATATTTCAACAAAGAATCACAAGCTTGATTTCAATGTGAGCTTTGTTCTATTAGTCAGTCAGTATCATCACCTAAGGAGTCTAAACTCCATTTTAATGACCCTTTTTCTATCTATCACCAGCTCACACCCCTACAGACTCAACCACGAAATTACTAAAGGCCACAGACAAAAAAGGGAAGCTGTTCTACCTTTACTGGCTCGTTGTGGGTCTCTCTCCAGGCAGCAGGTTGAACAACTGTGCTGAGGGCAGCTGAAACCTCCACCTGGGCTGCTGGTGGTTCCCGGGAGTTTACGGACACAGTCCTCGTGATAGTAACAACCACATCCAGACACAGAGCAGCGCGTCACCTCCCTGCCCACTGTTTTACAGCTAAAACAAGGATGGTTCCCTAGAAAAGGAATGTCAGAGAACGTGCTGTAGAAAAGCGCCAAACACTGCAAATATGATGGTAGATATGTAGTTGTGTTTGAATTCACTCACCTGTTCTACATTCTGTGCAGCTAAATCTTCCTTCAGGTGGGGACGACAAACCGAGACACTCCATGTGAAACTGCTTGTTGCAGTCACCTTCACATACCATCAAACCATCTCCGTACACCTCGCAGATCTACACAAAAACACAGAGAGTGGGGCAGTTTAAAAATATACCACACAAATATACCACACAACCAATGCCTGTAAATGTTTAGAAGAAAGAGCAGAACTGAGGTGAATCATGAGCAACGCTGACCTGGCACACAGTGTCCCTCTTGCTGGTGCTGCTGTCCTGACGGGACAGGCCAGAGTCCACAGACTGAGTATCTGAAGCATCTGCATCTGCTGCTGCTGGACTATCAAGACTCTTCCCAAATAAGCCCTGAAGCAGAGATGCACTGAATGTAAACCAGAGTGTTTAACCAATGCGTCGGGTGTGCAGACATTTTTTCTTATCTTACACTGGACCTTTGTGAATTGTATCCTCATCGAACCAAGCTGTTTAAGTTCCTCTCCCTTTACCCTACTTTTTCCTGATTGGCTGTACCTCGCAAACAGAAGCTTCTGCGCTCAAAGTCAGAGCTGCGCACCTGAGATGACCAAATTAGGAATATCCACTCTCTACATATAAATCAAAGAGTAGGAAAAAACTGGCAAATGAGCAGCCCCAAGTCTGAGCTTGAGTTTGCAGGAATTACTTGTACGTGGACCATCATCATAACAATACATATATGACAGGAATGACAAAAAGAGTATCAACTGCTTCAAGTGTCTTCTTTTCTTCAGCAGCAGAGAAGCCAAAGAATAATATAAAAACATGTAAATAATAAAAAAAATGATCATCCTTAAGAAGGTAAAAGCTTAAGAAGTGCTCATTTCTGGTTTTAAAGGGTGCAATGTTGGGATCTAAACAGGCCTATTGCTTACAGGAATAAAAATAAATTAATGCAATAAGAGCAAAATGAATCAGAGATAATGAAAACATGACTGAGATCGAATTTTGCACTCTGAACAGTAAACATCTCTGCATGCATGGCAATAATGTATGGATATTTAGCCTCTGGACTAATGGAGACAAATATTTTGTGTGCAGAAAAAAAGCCCTCGGTCATGTCATTCAAGGCTACCTGCGGGTCGTTGAGGCCTCTGGAGTCTGAATCAGACGTGTCTCTGTACTGAGATGAAGCCATTTCGACATCTGTTGATGCTCTGCTTCGCTTCTTCAGTGGCTTGCACGCATCTGAGATCTCACTAGCTCCTACACGATCACATGGGGGGGGGGGGAAGAAGAGACAGATTTTGTCTTTCTACAAGTACAAAGAGCTTCCATGACAAATGATTTACAGCGTGTGTGAATGAATGATCGCTCACCTTTCTGTGAACCTGTCCTCAGCGTGGTCTCTGGAGCCATCTCAGCCTGCAAGGAGATTAAAAGTGCAGGTTCAGGTTATCTCAGGTCTTCTTAGTTTGGATTCTAAGCTGTCTCATTCAATTTAATGAAACTATTCCTGCACAAAAATTCAGGAAAGTTTGCAAAACAAATCTGAATATAGCTCAACACGTGCATACCTGGATTATTTTGGAAGACAGATACACAATTTCACAGTTCTCCTGCCAACTCCTGCGGTGTAGGAAAAATACAGCTGCCCAAAGCTCTATCATATTACAAAATCCTTTTAGCAGCATTTTAGCATCTGATAAGCTTTCAAACTGCTAAAGCTGTTACGTGAACAGAAGTGCTAGGCTCATATTTCAATTTTTACTTTATTATATTTTTATATTCTATAAAAATCTATAAAAAAGACAGGGAGAGAAAGGTATGGCATACTGATTCCCTGTGGAGGACTAATACCTGCTCTTTTTTGGTTTTCTTCTTAGGGACGAGATCGTTGCCTCTCTCTGACTCAGACCTGCTTCTGACACACCGCCGCTGAAGCTTCCTCTCTTGAGAACCTAAAAAAACAAAACAAAACACTAAGCTGCATCTCTTTCTGACTTTGTCAATTTAATCCATAAAATTGAGAAATGCAACAGAAACACTCTGCATGTCTGTGTTTCGCCAACCTTGCGGACTGCTGTGGTGTGATCCCGGAGATGAGGTCTGCTGCAATCCTCCCTCTTCACTCCTCCGACTCGCTGGGGAATCTCTCCTCTCCTCTCCCTCGTCCTCCCCTTCATCCCCATCTTCCTCCTCCTCTGGACTGGGCTCAGGTTTAGCTCTGCTGTCCTGCTGAAATCAACATTTGGATATTAGCTTACATGATGTTTCTGCTGTGTACATCTTCTTCTGTCAGTTAGACCAACCTCAGGTGAGCAGTATCCCAGGTCGGGCTGCCTGCCTTCTCTCTCCACCCTCTCTTTCTTCTCTTCTTCTTTGTCCTTCTTTGGGGAGGCAGCTGCTTTTTTCTGGATAAGAGGCCAGTCACATTTTGTGATCTCCACATTCAGCCTCTTCATTGTGATAGAAAGAGGCAGCAGCTTCCTGGCAGCTGCCGTTTTCCACGTTTTGACCGGAGGCGGAGAGTCCTGCTGTGCTCGTGCATCACAGCCGGCATTCTGTTTCGGTGAGCTGGTCTTACGTTGGTCCCCCCTCTGGTTCTTATCTTCACTTGAGGCCTGGGAGTTTGCGTTGTCATCTGTGTTTGAAACACTACACTGTCTCCGTGGAAGCTGCCGTCGCGGAGGCTGCTCTCTATCTGGTGACTTTACATCTCGGTCCTCCTTCTTACTGATCGAGCTGCTTGAGCGCCGGCTTCGTTTCTCAGGTCTGATGTTGGGTTTCTTGCTGGGTGGGGCTTCAGTAGGGTCTGGGTCCACATAGATGAAGGTGTAGTTGTCAATTCGCTCCTGTCTCGTCATCAGAAAAGCATCCTCGGCGTGACCAACACCCACCTCCCACTGAGAACGTTCCCGCTGAGGGATAGGCTTCATTAGCTGATGAGAAAAAAAAGAAAACTCATGAACTTATAAACATGTACTGACCCTGGCATTCATGATTTTGGATTAACTGAAGGCTTTTCAGGGAGTTTTTAGAACAATAATAATAATTTTTTTTAAAAAAAGTGTTCCACATACTACATACATGACTAAAAACAAAAGAAGAGGTGTGCGGATCCAATAATTGGTATTGATTCGATATTGGTCAAAGATAGTGGGTAACACATTGGGGAAAATATAATCAGATGTGCTCCATTAGCCAAAACTACGTGGTACAACCTGAGTTAACAGCATGCCATGAAGACAGATGTGACAAGTAACTGAGATTTAAGAATATCTGATTGGGTTAAATTGATATCTCGAGCTCAGACGTGTCTCCATGTAAATTTATTATTGGCTTAGCTGTGTAAGAGGGGAAAAAGACAGCATCAGATTACTAACCATCAGCATGGGAGATGAAAAAGTGGCACTGAGAAATCCCCACTATAAACACTGATGTTACATAAAGCTGTCTTATAATCCCAGTGAGGATGGGATGTCTGATGATGATGTTATGTGAAGAGGACAGCTCAGAATATGCCTTCATTAAGAAAAGGGAAAAATCTTTAAAAAAAAAATTAGACTTGCTCATTATTCTTTCAAACTAAGTATCCCAATTTTCACCCACTCAACAAAATCAAACATTTTTAAATGTGTGCCGCTGCAGAGGTCTAAAGCCTGAGCTTTTAACTCGAAAGGGATTACTTGCACATACGATGACCTCATTACTTGAAATTTATTTTTAATTTCTTTAATATGAGCATCCACCATTGTTACAGTGGCTGAAAATAAGGAAAAGCATAGCAGGTCCACTATATGGTTAATTCTGGTTAAAGATTTTTGAAACGATCATTTTAAAAGCTGAAAACAACAAAAATTCTGTTTAAACGGTTTGTTTTCTTTAAGTCTTAAAAATAAATCTCCCATCTGTGCATACTTTGTGTCTCTCTACAGGGTTTGTGGTTTTGCGAAGTGTCTCTGACTGAAGCTCGTCAAACTGTTGCTTCCCCTGGTACATGACTATCCTCTTCTCGTGGATCCACGCTCGCTCTGCGACACTGCCAAAGAACTGGACGTGATATTCCCTGTGACCTGCACGGCAGCAGAGGAAAGAAAACAAGTTGCGGCACTTCTGTGTTTACACATTTACACACTTAAACTTGAACAACAAAGACGTTTAAGGGATTTTACCTCTGGTGTTGATGCGAGTGTGGACCTTCATCTGTGGGTCTGAGGACACCATGCAGGGCCACCAGGGGTAGGTACCCACCTTGGACCACACCAGATCTCCTATTACAAACTCCTTACAGAAGCCTGTCTCCTGGATCACTGATGGATGATGGACCTTAGGAACCTAAACATGAACAAGTCACTGTTATGTTTTCAAAATGTTTACTACAAACCACAGCGGCTGATCTGCGACGACTTCAAACTGCTTTGGTGAGTGAACATGAGCTCTTGCCTTCGGCGTCTTTGGTTCGGTTTTAATAACGGTCTTCGGAGGCTTCTCTGTCTGCACCGGCGGTGCTTCTTTTGGCGGCGGCTGGACGTGGGTGTCCTCTGTCTGGCCTGTGGTACCTGGCTGTGTTTGGCTCGTGTCCAGGCTCTGTTCCTGAGCTTGCAGCAGCAGTCTTGCACTCTTTTTCCTCTTCTCCTTCTTCCTCTCATGTCTGCGCTGCGCCTGAGCGGCCTCGTTCTTCTGAGACTCTTTCTGAAGACGAGGAAATAAACAGAAAGAAGTCAGCTACGATGAGACGGCAGTTCATTTTGTTGCGTTTTTATAAAAGAAACAACTCAGAATTTCCTCAGATGTCCGCTGCTTTAGGGATTTTGAAGAATAATTAAAAGTAAACTAAGATGTGCACGGTAATAATTCCATTAAAAAATAAATTGACTGATAAGATTTCCAATTAATACGCACAGTTATTTTGCCAAGGTGTCTTGGGATTTAAACAGGACATTTTATGTTCATTTCCATCCGCATAATTTTATTCTTGGACTGCAGCAGAGTAGCTTTATGGTTAAAATAATCCTCATTTATCTAGTACTGAGCCTGGGTATACTCAGTTTATTTATCATCTGTCATTTGGGCTCTCTGTAAGTGAACTTCCTTCTGATTGGCTGCCCCTCATAAGCAAAAGCGACCTTCACACTTCCTGATAATGATATCCACTCCTTTCGAGATCATACGGAGTCAAGAGTTAAAAATAAATTTACAAAATAGAGCATTTAGACCAGTCTAAGTGTGAGCTTTTGGCTTACAAGTATTTGTCAACACACACTGACATCAATGTCTGACAATGTCCACGACAACATGGAAAAAGGGAGGAAAAAAGCATTTTTAAAGGACACAATGTCTTTAAAATGGGAAAATAATTGTGTTTATGCAAGTTTTTCCTTTACTGAGCAGAAGCATAAGGTGGAGGAAAGCCAAAATGTAATGTAAAGTTCCACGCTGTATGTGGACTGGCCGAGCTTACGTGCTGGGCGGCTGTCTAAAAAAGTACATGAGGCATCATTGTTACAGTTTTTTAAGTTTTCGGCTTGCTTTTTCTTTCTGTTTGGTTTTGAGCATTTGTTTTCAATTCGGTACTATCCAAAATGAGTTTCCCTGTTTCACTTCAGTTTTTCATAATTTCCATCTTTTTAACTGTTACAATAGGGGAGGGCATGTTCAAATGACGCACCAAACTGACAAAGACTAATACCAAGGACATTTCCTGCGTATGATTTCCAAGTAGACAAGTTGTTAAACTTGGTTCTGTTTTTCTGAGGCCTAGTTTTTAAGCTTTATATAACTTAACTAAAACTGCTTTTCCACACCCAGTTTTAGTTTAGCTTTAGTTAACTATTAACTGTTATAGTAGAAGACACACAATTAGTTTATGCAATAATTAAAATAATCATTTATTGATGTCCCCAGACTGAAGTTCTGAAGCAAATTAGTTTGCAGCACCTCTGAACTATGTTTCACACGTCTTTCTCGGATTTAATTATTTATAAACCAAAGGAATAACAGACACGGGACGCAGCGGTTCAGATTAAAGTCAGTGTGTGCTTTCTCTCATGCACAAACCTTGACCAGCAAACCCTTTAGGTTTACTAATACGCACATTAATAAAAACATACAAAGTTAAAAGCAAGGTTTTAAAATAAACACACACACACAGCGAGTTTGTTAGTACAGCCATAAAGATTTGTGAAGAAACATGTGCTCATGTTAAAGAGGACTGCCAAACACGAGCAAATGTTAATAAAAACCTGACAATAAAACAATGTGAAAACTTCAGATGCTTGTTATATTTTGATAAAGTTTCTTTATCTGCATTTTTTTATTCCTGTGAGAAAAAAACAATTTAACGATTTTTAAAACAAAAGGAGCAACAACCAGTTAATTCTGTTCTTTGACAGGCTGAAACCAGCATTAGTTTAATATTTATCCTTAAGTTCCCTAAATAATTAAACTTGTGCTTTTTACTTGATCTTTACTCTTCCTAGAAAGAAAGAAAGAAAGAAAGAAAGAAAGAAAGAAAGAAAGAAAGAAAGAAAGAAAGAAAGAAAGAAAGAAAGAAAGAAAGAAAGAAAGAAA